AGACAGCGTCTTGCTCTTGCTCAGGCTGGTCTCAATCAATCCTCCTATCTTGGCCTCCCAATGTGCTAGGATTACACGCACGAGCCACCATGCCCAGTCTTCAAATTATATTTTTTGCCTTTTAGCATGCCTCATAATTTTTTTTTACTGGCTAGACATGATGTACCAAGGTTAGGTCTGATTAGGTCTCAGTCTTTTAGTGAGTCTCTGCCTCTGTAAACTTTACTAGTGTCTTTCAGTTTTTTTCTCCCCCCTCAGGTGGGACAGGATGTCGAGAGTTGGCTATTTCCCTTCTTGGAAGGCCAGAGGGGGCTGGAGATGACTATTTCTCTTCTCCCAGGTCAGTTAGGCTCTGATTATACCCCACAGGTGAGGCTCTGGGTAACTAGTTTCTCCTGAGGGCAGGCCTTGTTAGGAAGAACAGAATGCTCTGGCATATATCAAAATGGTTCCTTTTCCCCTCCCTGCCAGAAGCATGAGGGGGGTTTTCTTATGACGTTTACTGTGGGAACCTGGTCAAGCACCTGGAGGTAAACCTCTCAATATTGTGTGGCGCCCCCTCTGGCTGGATCCTCCTGGAGTTATTTTCAACTCTCAGACTCGCCGGCACTGAGCCTCCAGCAACACCCCTCACTGCTTCCTGCAGCAGCTTCCACGCAGGAGTCGCTCTCTGCTCCAGGAGGCCCTGACTCGCTGTGCTCACCTGTCTCTCCAATCCTGGGGCAGAAATTTGTTCTGTGTCTTCCCCTGACTTAGGGATCGAAGAAGAGTTGTTGATTTTTCAGTTTGTTCAGCTTTTTACTTGTTAGGATAGAGTGGAGACTTCCAAGCTCTTTACGTACGGACCCAGGAAATGGAGGTACTGTTTTTATTCCCATTTAAAGATGAGATGCCTGTGTTGCCAATATGAGATTTCTGGTCATTTCAAAGGACCTAAACAGGGAGCCTTTTCTATAACGTAAGTCCCGGGTAGAAATCAGAAGGCGTACCTGTTAGGAATTGTGTTAGGGCTGTGAGTAAAAGATGCCTCTCCTCATCCCTAAACAGTGGCTTAACTAAGTTAGGGGTCTTTCTGTTTTTTTTACATAAACTAAGTCCAGGAGAAGCTAACCCATCTCCGGTGGGACACCCCACAAGAGCCTCAGAAACCTGGATTCTTTCTATCTTTATGCTCTGCCCTAAAGATGGCTTCCAACTTCTACAACACCTCATGGTCCAGAATGGCTGTTGTACCCCAAAACTATATTCCTGGCAAGAATTAGAAAAAAAGGGAGTAAAGAAAGAAAGGTCAAAACTCCTAACTGATTACCAAGCAATGGGCTTGCTTAAAAAAAAAAAAAAAAAACAACCTCCCAGCTGAGTCAGTTCTTTTTAGACTCTTTCTTAGAGCCCAGCTCAATGATTTTCCTCGTATCTCATTGGCTGCCCTTGGCTCAGGAAGACACAAAAATGTGGTCCGTTGTCATCTGGAATAAAAAACTAGAGTTTGAGCCTGGTATGGTAGCACAGGCCTATAGTCCCGGCTGCTCAGGAGGCTGAGGCGAGAGGACTGCATGAGCCCTGGAGTTCAAGTCCAGCCTGGGCAATATAGTGAGACTCTGTCTCTAAATCAAGTTTTTTAAAATTTAAATAAATAAAGATTAGGATTTGGTTGGAAAGAAGTAGACAACTAGCTGTTTTATCCACCTAAGGGCATTTCAGACATCCTTGCATCCTTTCATATGCTATAACTGTGAAGTGGAGCTTGGGATCCTGAGAGAGTACAGCGTGTACTCTCAAATCGTGGGTTCAGGGAAAGTAGCATAGGTGGTGCAATGTGATCACTTAAGACTGGGAGTGACATGATTTGGGGTCAGCAATTTTCTGAACTTTTCAGGGAAAGGCAGATTTGTGGATAGGCACTAGGGCTGTTATGACATAGTATAATTTGAATATATAGAGAAGCTATTTAGCCTCAAAAATATATTTCCCCTGAAGCTTGATGCCTCAAATTCCTCAGTTTGGTTTCTCTGTAAAATGCAACTAGAACATGATAGGATAACTTATTAATACTTACTAGTTACTAACAACTCAGTATGTCTGAGCTTAATCTATTAAGGAGACTTAGAGATGTGCTAGTACACTGCCCTCACTTTCCAGTTAAGGAAATCAAGACTCAGAGGGACTCAGTGGTCTTCCCAAGTCACACTTCAGTGGCAGGACTGCCTGCCCCTCGCCAAACGGGACTGGGTGGTGGTGGGGGTGGGGAGAGGCACCAGGAAGAGGTAGGAAGACTGCAGAAAGGGAAGCTGAGCAATAGACGTACTTGTATGAATTCAATTTATTTACGTCCTGTCTTTTTCCAATGAACACTTGAGGTAATTGGCAGTTTGGGCTGTGAGTGGCTCTTCCTTGGATATTTGGCTCCTCCGTCCTTGCTGGCCATCCTTGGGCAATAGGAAAAAACCAAGTGTGTTTTGGGGACGTGTGCTTCAGCAGCTGCCTGTCTCTGCAAGGGAGACAGGGATGAAACACCTCCGCCCCCCATTTTACACAGTAGCCCTCTTCCTCGAATCCCTCCAATCTGCCCACTCCCGTGATCATTTCATGTTGGTGGGAGCCCTGACCAGGGGTTGCTTGTACACACCTGAAGTGACACAGCAGAAGATGGGGACATTCTGGAGGCATCTTTAGAATCTTTTAGTGATGGTCTTTTTCTAATTTTCAAAGGAAAAAAAATTATAAGTCATAGGTAGACTTTCTTTCTCCTTTAAATTCTTGCATGTGTTTTTCTTAATCTTTAGACTCTGCTGTGGAGTGTCCATTTCAGAATATCGGATTTCACAGCAGATTGTGTATTTTGTTATTTTAGGGTGTGTTTTTTTATTTGTTTGTTTTAGTGTAGTACAGTATACAGTTCATAGTATACAGTTCACAGTATACAGTATATAGTTCAACTCTAAAGTTGAACTGTTTGGGTTTGAATCTAGCTGTTTCACTTACCAGCTGCATGAGCATGAGCTCAGGCAACTTCTTAATAGCTTTGGGCCTCAGTTTCCTCATCTGTAAAATAGGATGATGATAGTAGCCACCTGGAGCTTTGCCAAGATAATGACTGTGAAAGGCACTTAGCACAGTGGCTGGTAAATACAAATACTCAACGCTTGTTAGCTGTAATTATGAGTTCAGTTTACTACAGCAACATTTCATGACTTTAATACATCAGGTGATGATACTTTAATATCATCACTAACATATCAATGTTCCAACCCTTCTAGGTGCTTTTCCTTCTGAACAATTTTGAGAACAATTATTCTAAAAATTGCCTGCGTTGCACACACACTGCCATTACCACCCTCACCCTCTCTTATTATAATCTTCAGAATTATTCCATTTTTGACTTAACCTGTATCTTATGTAACTCACCTCATTCTAGCTAAATCAGTGTGTGATGACTGTCTTCCCTCATGTACATGTGACACATTATCCAGTCAGCCTGAGGACAATACTGGACTCACGTATGGATTTTTGATCTTCTTGTAATCACCATCCATGCTACCCCTCAAAGTGCAACACATTCGCTGTGACCTTTCTAGCCCAGGGGCTTTTCACAGAATCCTTCATCAATCCACACTCGTGACTTGAAATTCCACTTCTGCCTCATTGCACTCAATATGAATTTCTTGTAGAAGTTGCAGTTTCTCTTGGGGAATTTCCTGTGGAATCTGCAGCATCTCTAACCCCCTAGCACCCCAGAAGTGCTATCAAAAAAACTGTCCATGTGCACAAATGGAAGTAAAACTCAACGGAAATGGAGCAGGTGGGAGGGGAGAGGAGGATGGGTGAAATCATACGTAACAGGTACAACATATACTATCTGGGTGATGGGTATGCTTATAACTTTGCCTCAAGCCGTACAAAAGCAATCCATGTAACCAAAACATTCATACCCCTCTAAATTCTGAAATTTAAAAATAAAATGTTGAATGGATAGTGTTATACCAATATAGTAAAATTATCCGGGCAAATGCTCATTTTTAGATGGAAGCATTGGGGTAGGATTTTAAAAATCTTCATTCATATAACCGGGCTTAATTATTTTTTCTTCTCTGAAAAAGAGGCTAGTTTTATTGTCAAAAAAGAAAGCAAGTGTCCTGCTTTCAGACTTAAATTTGTGACAGGTCCCTTTAACCAACTTATTTCCCTAATCATTTGTCTCTCTTGTTTAAATAATTGTTTCTTATGTGTGTTTTTTAAAAGAAGCCACAAGATTTCCATAACACATGGTTATAAAAAAGGAACTTGTCATTGTATTAAATTTCTAATTTCATCCTACTTAAAAAGCCCTTCTGTTTCCACGTCCAAATGACCGCTGAAATTAGACCCACAGCTCTCATTTTTAAACTGTTTCAGTATACTTGACTCTTTAAATGCACATGAGTTTATCTCCTTCAAGGAGATAAACTCATGGTGTGGAAGGATATCTACTTATTCCACTGCATTGGAATTTCTTTTAGATTACTTCTTGTTGGTGGCAAATCTTAGCCTACTGAGGGTGGATTGAAGTTTTGGAAACAAACAAAAGCCTGATGACTAAGTTTGGAGATCAAACTGATCAAGCGATTTGGGGTCAAAATCCAAGTCTGTCTGTAGAGCGATGAGACCAAGCAGCTTCCTGTGAGGTTCTAGGGGTGACTCATCTCTTGAGGCAGCACCAAGAGAGGCCATGGGTGGGACATGGGGTTGGGGGGTTCATGCATAATTAGTGGACACTTGCTGGCTCGTGTGTGTGTGTGTGTGTGTGTGTGTGTGTGTGTGTGTGTGTGTGTGTGTGTCGCCAAAGTAAAGAAGGAAAGAGACAGCAGAATCAGATTCCTGCTTTCTTCCACCACCGGCCAGAGACTTAACCTAGGGAAGCTCGAATCACCTTGGATCCCAGTTCCTCATCTGTAAAACAAGATCATCATATTCTGCTCCAGTGTTGTTTTTTAGGATAAAATTTAATACTGAGTATAAAACACCTTACTTAGGACATGGTGCCTAGCGGTGCTCAGTGATGTCAGCTCCTCTTTTCACTCTTTCCCTTCCTCATCTTAAAGGAGGGCAAATGTTTGAACATGTAATTTCAGCAAAGCTTGCTTAAAACTCATGTCTCTTAAAAACCTGCACCCACAAAATCATGCAAGGGTATCCCGCATGCGGGGTTACCTTCAACCTGGAGTGTGGTGTTTGGGGAGAAGAATGGACGGGAGAGATGAGTAACACGACCACCAACCACCTCCACCTAAAAAAGAATTCCAGTAGCTCTGGAGAGAGTGGTTCTCCAGAGCTCCACTTCCCACCCCCAGCCCCACGGAGCCCCCCGCTCTGTCTGCCCAGGCTGAAAGAGAGAAGGGTGGGATTCATGAGTAATTAAAGGGAATTTGGAAGGCTGGGATGTTGCGGAATGTTAGATCAGTAGCTAGAACAGCATGTGGTGTTCTTTAGGCAGGCTTCATTGAATCCATACAAAAAAAGAAAGAGGGGCTGCCTGCCTGTCTGCTCATTTATCACACAGCGAAGCTCAGCGTTCACAGCTCCACAAAAGTGTTTTACTGTTTGCTGAGTCTTGCTCCAGAAATTAAAAGCTGAGCAGCCTTAGCGGGGCTGAACCGACCCTGCATTTTGAGACTCAAACTAAATTGTGCTGGGCTTTCAGATTCAGGGACCAGTTGATTATTTGGTGAAAGGAGAGGAGAATAATTTGTAATTTGCAGCCCATAAGAAACACTTAAAAAAAAAAAAGCCAAACCCCCTTCCCACAGGTTTTTGTTGCAGCTGCGAGGAGGAGGTGCTATCTGCAGCAGCTCTTTCTTTGCTCAGAGTGGGAAAAGTCTTGACCTCCATTTGGGCAGAATGCGGTTTGGTGGCAGTGCCTCCACCCATCCCCCAGCACAGCCGGAACAAACTTCCTTCTCTCTCATTGCTTCATCTGAAATTGCCTTTCCCTCTTTTTGGAGGAGGAGGATTTGGCCATCTAATATTTTTAGGTAAAGAATTTTCATAAACCAAAAATTCTGGCCACACGAATCCATTGCTTGGGAAAGCAGAACGTACCACAAAAGCCTGAAAACGGGACTGAATGAGGAGCTTCTGAAGATCCGTGAAAGGATGGAAGTGTGGGGCACTAACTGTCAGTGAAGAGAATGGACTAGGAAGGAGGTGACCAGAGGAAGAAGTCACAGAGAGGCAGGGAGGGCCCGGCCCCCTTTGCTCCCTGGCATCCGTGGGCTGTGAAGCATGTTGAGGGTGAGCTCGCACCCTCCACTGTCACCCACTCCCAGCTGACGAGCCCCAGGAGACCAGCCTGTCGCCCCGCCTCTAACCCCTCCAGCCACTACAAGCCTGCAGGATAAACCAAGCAAGTTATGGTCCCATGCTCAAATGGAAGAAAGGGCAAAAGGTCCTTTCTGGCTTTTTAACTTAGCACATTTTTTTTAAAAATGTTAATGCCCTTCTATACTTTATGGAAAGCAATTTGACAGCATGTTTTAGGAGCATTGAAATATCTGTCCCCTTTGAGCAAGCAGCTCTGCGTTTGAGAAACTATTATGAAGGGAAATCCTAAAGCAAAATATCAACAATAATAAAAATCATTATGTACAGAGATGTTGCTTATAGTATTATTTATGTTAACACAACACTGGAGACTTAAATGGCTAATAACAGAAGAAGGATTCATTCATTCTTTCATTCACTGAGTCAATGAATGAATGTACTCAGCCGCCTTCCCTCCTTCCTGGGCAACCACAGAAGCCTTCCGACTGGTCTCCCTGCTTTGACCCTTGCCCCTGCAGTCAGTTCTCCCCGCAGCAGCCAGGTAAGTCAGATCTCATCCCTCACCTCCCTCCTTGAAGCTACCAAAGTCTTCCCACCTCACTCAGAGTGGAAGCAGATGTGCTGACAGAGGCCTGCAAGGCCCCCATGAACCTGCCCCGCCAACCCTCCCAGCCTCCGCCCTCTGTCCTTCCACGCTCCACCACAGCGGCCTCCTCGTTCTTCCTGAAACAGCCAAACCAGCTCCCTGCCGCACAGGGCCTTCCCATGGGCTATTCCCTCTTCTTGCCACTTCCTTCCCAGATGTCCACAGGCTTCGTCCTCTCACTTCCTCCAGCTCACCCCTCAGATGCCACATGATCACCCAGTCGTCCTCACCCTGAACAAAATTTCACCCCCACCTCCACATTCTCTACTCCCCTCGCCCAGATTGTCTGGCCCCTCTTTGTAACACTTATCTAAGACACATTGACTTTTCCATTTGTTTATTTTTGGTCTTCCTGTGCTAGACTGTAAGCTTCTCGAACAGAGGCTGTTTCTGCCTTGCTCAGTGTTGTGTCCCCTCAGTGCCTAGCAAAGTGTCTGGCATATCGTAGGCGCTCAGTAGGTACTAGGTACTCGATGCTGAATGAATCCAAGCTACGTGCCAGTAGTCAAGCTGCTACGGTTACTGAGGCTGCAGCTTGTTCAATGTGGGGGAGAGAACGAGAAACCCAGTCCACAGAGAGTCCCATGGGCCGAGGTAAAGACTTTGCAGAGCTGAGTAGAACATGGATTATTTATAACAATTCTATTGGCAGGGAGGAGATGTTGGTCAAAGGATACAAAATTTCAGTTAGACAGGAGGAATAAGTTTAAGAAATCTATTGTACAACATATTTCAAAACACCATGTTGTATACCATAAATATGCACAATTTTTATTTATCAACCTCATTCATTAAAAAGAAAAGAGATTCTATAGACCACATAACTCGGGTCACCAAACAAGAAGCCCAGGGAAGGATTCTGGGAGGAAATAAGGTACAAGCTAGGAGGTGAGGATAAGAAGGCATTGGGCAGACAAAGGACATGGAGAGAGGGCTCAAGACAACAAGGGCAGCCTGGGGTAACAGTGTGTTCGTGAAACTTGGGAAGAAGTTCTTTATAGCCAGAGCATAGGGGGCAAGAGGGGAGCTGGACCAAAGGCAGGGCCAGGCAGGCAGGACCCCGCAGGTCTGGACTTCCTCTGCAGGTTCCATGGAGAAACGGTCGTTGGGGCACAGCTGGAAGCAGGGGCAATGAGGTGACCATTGCAGCAACCCAGGTGCAAGATCATGGTCCCAGGATGGGTGGAGATGGGAGGTTGTGGGCAGAATCAGGATATATTCAAGGTAGAGAGAGGGTGGAACTCGGTCACAGATTGGAAGTGGCAGGTGCAGTCATGACTTGGAGGAGGAGGAGCCCTGACGCGGTCAGGGAATCGGGACGAGTGGCGTGCATGCAGGCTGCGGAGTGGGCTTTGTGGGGAGAGGAGGGAGACAGAGCTGCAGGTAGCTGCAGAGACAGGGACCGGGGAAGCATTCAGAGAACGGTGCGTCACCAGGTGGTCTGATTTGGATGGAATGCGGGGTTCACATAAGGAATTTTAGAGAGAAAAGATGGAAGCAAAGAGTGGTGTCCGAGCTTTAGGCAAAGGAGACTCTGCTGAGTCAGGAAGGACTCTCCTGGTCTATTTTCGGTGATTCAGCAGAGGGTGATGCTGGTCACAAAGATGGTAAAACTGCACATATTGACTTACACATTATTCAAAAGGAATAAGTAAAAACCATCCGCAATGGACAAGTCATAGGTTAAATTGATCAGTGAATTCTCAGGTCCCATGCCATGACTTAATAATTCCTCAAAATCACAGTCCATAGAATTACAAACACACGGATTGTACATTTCGTTGTCTCACAGAGGTAAAATAAGTGGCTCCAGAAAGCCAGTCCTCATTTCCCAGTGGCCCTGTGGCATGTCTGTAGACCAGAGTCTGCAACCCCTTGTACCTTAACCTAGGGCCAGGCAACAGGGGCTCTATCTGTTTGCTTTGTGGATGTTATGTAAGGTACCATTTGGATAAACTCTTAGAAAGATTTCAGAACTCTCTCTTTCTTTTTTTTTTTTGAGAAGGGGTCTTACTCTGTCGCCTGGACTAGAGTGCAGTGACACCATCATAGCTCACTGCAACCTCAAACTCCTGGGCTCAAATGATTCTCCTGCCTCAGCCTCCCAAGTAGCTGGGACTACAGGCATGTGCCATCATGCCTGGTTAATCTTTCTATTTTTTTTGGTAGAGATGGAGGTCTTACTCTTGCTCAGGCTGGTCTCGAACTCCTGGCCTCAAGAGAGGCTCTCGTCTTGGCCTTCCAGAGTGCTGGGATTACAGGTGTGAGCCACTGCACCTGGCCAGTCCAGTCTCTTAAATCAAGTAATAATAAGGTTTAGCAACCAAATGAAAAATGCTGCTTTCTTTTATTATCTACATATTGTTTACAGGAAATAGGGAATGATTTATTTAAAAAAAAAAGAAAGAATGAGAGGAAAGAAGAAAAGAAAGAAAGAAAGAGAGAGAGAGAGAGAGAGAGAAAGAAAGAAAGAAAGAAAGAGAAAGAAAGAAAGAAAGAAAAGCAAGCAAACAAGCAACCATTAATAACATTCTAATAGATTTTTGGTGCTTCTTTCAAGATTATCTTAAACTTTCTTTGTCAATTAGAAATATTTCTAACAAGAAAATCCTTTTCTATTTGCAAAAAAAAAAAAAACCAAAAAAGTTGATTAAGTACACAAATGTACAAAACCTTTTTGTTCTAACCACAATCCCTACCCTAACAAATACCCATTTTCATTTTTCCCCATTTCCTATATAACCATAGCATAAACATAGTTTGAGGGCTGCTATTTCATTTAGCATTATGTCATAAGCATTTTTCATGCTGTGACATAGTTTTTGTTACCACCATTTTAAATGACTATTTCATAATTTCTATTGAGTGTATATACTATCATGTATTTAGCCAGTTCCTTATGAATGGATATTTATGTTGTTTCCATTTTTTACTCTCTTCAGTAGATCCACACTTAGCTTTTTCTTATTTTAGATTATTTTCCTAGAATTAACAGATCAAAAAGTATGAGTATTTTGTGGCTTGATATATATTATAAAAATGCTTTGGGGAAGGGTTATACTAATAAATTATGTCATCAGCAATCTGAGTTTTGCTACAGCCTTTACAGCACTGAATATTATCATTTTCTGATGTCTGCTAATATCAGAGCATTAAACATGGTACCTTACTGTTGTGCTCATTTTCATAAGAGGAATTTCCCAGACTGGAACATAGGAAAATCTCTGCTTTTCCTAAGCAACTAGTATGCACTTACTGATACTGGGACTCTGGTAACTGTATTGTATTATCTTCTTTGCTTGTGTGGTTATGAAACTCAGGACCCAAATCAGAACCAACTTTTAACCACTGTGAAGAATCCCCTGGCTCCATTTTTTATGCTTCCCTTGTTTTCTCTCTGTCTCTATCAGCATGTCTATGTCTGTTCAGTATTGCAGTTTTGTGAATGGCTGCATCAAATCCTGGCTCTGAAACCATTCCTGTGATGAGACTCTGGAGGGCTTGGCCATAGGTTAATACAAACCCAAGGTGACAAGGCTGCCAAACCCTGATTCAGTCTTAGACTGCATGACTGGGAAGGGTTTAGAGAGCACTATTACTGACCACATCTTGAACACTGCATTTTGCTGGAGTCACAACAATTCAAGAGGGACATAAACAAGGTGAGAAGCCCAGGTCCTCAGTTTCCAGGAGACAGGGTTAAAGAGAGAAGGATATGTTGCCCACAAAAGTGATACTCTTAAAGAATTCAAAGAATTAGTACATCATTTTGTTCAGTATTAGCACTATGACATAATAATTTAAAAGCCCTTTTACTTCCAAAAGTAGCTTCATGATGTCATGGCATTCGAGTCTCTAAACATCCTTGTGAGGTGCATCTTTTTTCCACCCAATTCAGATGAGGAAATGCCACCCCATCCATCCTCCACACTGGAGATGGTTCACTCCCTAGTGTACAGAAACGGTTAATTTCACACCACCCAGTCCAGGTTCTCAATTCCTCTTTAATTTCTTCACTTCTTTCCATCCCACTGATGCCAGTTTAGCTGAGGCCACCATCACCTATCCCTACCATTAGGGGAAGACTATTAATATATAATCCAAGTCCTTAGATGTCACAGGAGGAAACTAAGGCTCAGAGAGGTTAAATATATATGTTCAAACAAATAACAGGGTCACAGCACATTTATTGAGTGAATGAGTAAACCGATCAATGAGAATATTGGTGTGATTATAGAGGGTGCGAATGGATCAATAAAGGTTCATCCCATCTCTAGAGAAAGCACTCAAGGTTCATTCCCTAAAAATAAATCAGCAACAGCATGTCTCCTCATGAAGGACAGTGTGCAGGCTGGCTCTCTCTGACCATGCATGCCTGCTCAGTGCTCTACTAGAAGGGAGTCTGGAAGAATCTGGTTAGAGTTGAAAAGCCCCTGGAAGTTAAAGGAAATGAGTCATCAGGACAATCAGTGGTAATAATGGGCAATGTTTATTAAGTACCTACTAAATGCTAGGCAGGGCTACAAATTATTTATATACATTTACTTTTTAAAATTTCACAACTCTCTAAGGTAGAGGTCATTATCATTCCCATTTTATAAACAGGGAAACTGAGTCACGTGAATGTTAAATGGCTTGGATCTAATCCAGGTGGTCTAGCTCCAAAGTTCTTGCACATAATCCCTACACTAAACTGCTCTCCACAAACATCTCTGTCAATTGCAAGTAAAGAGGCCTCTTGGTTATGACTCCACGTTGGGAGATGGTCTCTCTTCCCAGGTTTCTTGTGAATCTGTGTGGTTGTCCTGGGCAATAGCAGGTACCATCCTCTACTCTGCAGACAGGTAGAGGAGACCCTCCAGGCGGGGATCAGGACTTCATTCCTTTATCCAACAAATATGGACTGAGGTCTTCACGTGTGTGAGGTCTCTACTCTCGTGGAGCTTGTGTTGGTAGGAGGCCACATGAGCTAACCACTCAGAGAATAAGCGAACAAGATCATTTCAGATGGTGCTGAGCAGTAAGACACAAAGCAGGGCCACATGATGGTGAGAGACTGCTCGTGCCACCTGCCTTTGCTGGTCAGAGGCTCTGGGCAGAAGGACATTGCCCGGAAGCCTGAATGGTTTAAGAAGCTCCAGTCTCGGAAAGGTCTGGGTGAAACTGCATTCCTGGCAGTGGGAATTACAGTACCAAGGCCCCCAGCAGGGAGCAAGCCTGGTGTTTCAGAAAAAGAAAGAAAAAAAAAGCCAGTGTGGCTGGGATCTGGTAAGTAAGGGTGAGAGTTATAGGAGGAAGGCCAGGAGGTTAGCAGGACATGTCACGGAGGCTGAGTGTGGCTTTTAGTTCCAGGTGTGATGGGAATCATTGGAGGGTTTTAAGCAGGGGAGCGGCACATTCTGGACCAACCAGTGCTCTCCCTGTGATGTGAGTAGAAGCAGGTAAAGCACAGAGTGGCCAAACGAAACCCCCTCAAGACCTGGAGCCCCACAATAATCCCAGCACGCCCCGTCCACCTTCCTCACCGGTCGTCTTTTCCAGGGTCCCTACAGACTTCGGATAAGTCACTGCAACCGGGAGGAAATCTATGTTTTCCTCCCTTCTTTAGATTGCTGTTTGTAAAACTCAGCACCATGCTCCCAACTTTTCCCAGTGGGTAACTGATTCTTGTGTTGACTTACAGATCATAAGGCAGCAGTTTCCTCAGTTAACCACCAGAAGACTCGGGACCCGAGGACAGTCAAAGTAAGCACCTGACGGCCATTCCACCTGCAGCGCGCGCACCTCTGGGCCTCGAGACTGGCCGGGCCCCAGGCTGTCCATCCTGAGCCCTGCCTGCAGGCGCAGAGGAAGTCTGTGCCTAGAGGGAAATGGAGGGGCTTTGTGGCAGCTAGGGCCCCCCTCTCAGGACCCCTGAAACAGAGGCCGTCCACAAGCCAGGGCCATTTTGCCCAGCCACTTTAAGGAATCCGATCTTGCACCACCCTGCTTTTAGGCATATTTTATAAAATTGGGCATCCTTTAAAGGATCACATTGTGGCTTCCTGGACTATCTCTAGGTTATTAGGACTGTTCTGAGCAAACTCTCTGCTCTGATCGTATCCAGTCACCCAGAGAAGCAAATGTGTGCTGACAATGCCCGCACGGGAGATGGGGCAGAAAGGTCCAGCCACACCGCGGCACACAAGGACACACTGCTCCCCATTCATCAGTTCCACCCACCAACCAACCAAGCGAGACTGTTTCCTGTACTTCATTAAACTATGGATTTATAGGACTTGCCTCTAAGGATGTTTCAAAAAATTGTTGGACATTAAGAAGTGTTCCACGAAAAAGGGCAGGGGAACAGCTTCCTTTGTTCACTGCAAGACTTCTCAGAACCTTTGTTATGCTAATGTACATGGTAACTCCACTAGAGGGCGCCTTACTGTGCAGCATTTCTAAACATTTTGACCATGTTGAGCAGGTCAGTACATAGTGACATATAAAATAGTGAAACTTAAAAAAAAAAAAACACAATATAGGACTTTTAAGACTTGATTCTGAGGGTGTTTCAAAGCATATCTAATACCGTCACCATGAGCAACACCCTCTACCCCCCATCAGTACCTGTCATCCCTGGATAGCACGTTCCCATCCTCCAAGGGTGGGTTTGACTTTGGAGCCAAGTTAGGGAAAGAAAATGGATGATCAAACTGGGAAAAACTCTCTTTGGTAAAGTTCTGAAAATAATGAGACTAATTTTTTATGTGGCTCAGACACTCTTGAGCCAATTTCCAAAGGGACTTCCAGAAAATTTCTGAACAAAGGACATCTTGGAATACATTCCTAATAATTTTTGAAGGTGACTATTCTGAAAAACAAACCTCATTTATAATTTAAAAAAAGAATTCTGGCATTTGTTTAAAAATGAGGTTTCAGCCTTGGTAAGACTATAAAGTACAAAAGCCAGATTCTTCCTTGTTTGTTGGTGGGCACACAGTGGGCAATTAAAAATGTTGGTTAAACAGATGAGAGGATAGATGGAAGGATATTGGATGAATGGAAATGAATTATTTTTCTTCAGCTCATAGTCTTTGAAGAATCACTGGCTCCAATACATTTTTGCACATTTCTAAGAAGAATAGAAATATTTAATAGTATAGATAGTAAAGATAGAACAAAAAGGTTTCCCATCCTACATAAACTTGGAGAAACTTTCCTTCTCTCTACATGTGAGAACTGGTTTTTATTTTTCTTTAACCTAGAGATTGGCAAATTGGGCAATATCTTCTTTAAAAACTCTGTATAATCAATTTTATTGTATCCTCTCCACAAGGATCCTCCAAGGTTGGTCACACCTTCAACCAAAGGAGAGGCAGTTAGACGCTCTAGTCTCCAACCTGCAGCTTGGCCTTGCAGAGAAACTTCCTCAGCAAATTTACCTTGACAGAAGAAATTTCGGGGGTGGCTAGTGAAGAGTGTGCTGATGTGTCCCACAGAACTTTAACGGAAAAACTGAGGAGGGATCTGAGTAATAGCTTTACTGTGGTTGCTGATTTTAGCAACCTGCACTCTGAATAATCCGAAGTGGTCTGGTCTGAATATATCATGACTGTCTGAATCTGTAGATGTTATACACGGGAACTTTTTAAAGGTAGGGAGGCATGTCGTCACTGTCCCCTCCCCCTCCCCCCAGAGGTCGCTTCTGGAGCCCCCAGAGCCACTGCCCCTCCCCCACCCAAGGAGCGCCTTTCAGGTGGAAAGGCAGTTATGACAGTTGGGAAGTAGAAGGCACAGAAGGCAAAGTCAGCTCCAATACAAAGAAGAATTTTTTTGATAACCATACCGACAAAATGAACTGGGCTGCCTTCGGAGGGTCTGAGTTTTTCATCCCACAGGGCATTCAGATAGAGACGAGATGCCCACTAAGCAGAAATATCACGGAATGGTATCAGGAGGACAGCGGGCCGGGGAGAGGGAAGGTTACGTGTGCTCATCTCTTCCCTCCCTGTGAAACCTTTCCCGTGACTCAAAACGCTTTCTCGTTTGTGTTATTTTGTGGCTATCGCCATATCCCCATGGGTGGAGAAAAGCAGTTAATATGTGGTGCAGAGTTTCTGAAAGGGACGTCCATGAATTACTTATATGAGTATTGTCGTGGGACTGTGAAAATCTGTAGACCTACTAAATCAGAATCTCGGGGGGTGGGGCCCAGGCGCCTGTATGTTAATATGTTTTGTAGGTGATTCTTATTAGTAAAGTTTGAGAATCACTGGCTTAAGAGGTCAAAAAAGCCCTTTGGAGGTTCAAATCCTGCCTCTACTACTTACTCACTGGGTGATCTTGCATGTGTTACTTAAATTCTCAGGTCTTAGTTTCCTCACCTGTAAAATAGGGATAATAATTGGCTCCAGCTATATGGGGATTTTGTGAGATTAAATAAGATCGTGTCAAGCACTTAGCACCGTAGATCTCAAGCTGATGTGGTTTCAGAATTACCTGTGGTGCTTGTTTCAGTGCTGATTCTTGGGCCCCATTCCCAGATGTTCTAAATCAGTAGGTCCTGGGAAGGGGCCTGGGAATCTGTATTTTCGCGAAGCTCCCTAATTGATTCTGACAAACATCAAGGTTTACAATGCCACCATGCAGTGTCTTTGTTAGGATAGCATTGCAGCTCTGTGGTCAAATAAGATCTGTGTTCAAGAACTTGTTCTCCTAAACAGCTATATGACCTTGAGCAAATTACTTGTGCTTTCTTGCCTCCATAGGGTTATTTTATAAATTAATGCATGTAAAGCCCTTTGCAAAGTGCCTGGCACATAGCAAGTGCTCAATAGGTTGTAGCTAAAATCCAAACAAAATGCAGCCTCCATTTCCTCATTAGTCTTAACTGAAAACATTGCCATTGCTATTATTAAGCCCATTTTGAATTAATAGAAAGTTCTGGTCTTTGTTTTACATTCAGTGTCAACTGAAGCACTGAATTTATCTTTTTAAAAACACAGTTCTTTGACACTACTGTGTACTAATTAAGAAAAACATAGGCCAAATGAACTTTTGTTGGAGGTGCAGTTAGCAGTCACAAACACGTCCTTCTGCTTGGTCTGCTCAGGGAGGGAGGGTGCTGTGCTCATGGGATCACATTTGGCTAGACGTGAGATCAGGTACAAATGGAAAAGTTTTCATCCCCTCTCTGCTTTTGCAAAGTGTTTGACTTAACATTTTCTGTAGGAGGCAATTTTAGTTATTTTTACCTGCCTGATTGACGTCTGGCAACATGGAACTTTGGTTTAATTCTAGATTTCAGAGATATCAAGCCTTATAGGAGAGTTAACTCCTTTGGCTCCAGGTAGGATGGGCCCAGCCATTCTTGGCCTTGGGCAAACATCTCCCCACAAAAACTCAGGAAACCCCAGTTAATAATGGTGCATGTGGGTCTCTCTCCCTCTCTCTTTGCGGCCCAGGTACCATTACTATGGCATTGCGGTGAAAGAAAGCTCCCAATATTATGATGTGATGTATTCCAAGAAAGGAGCTGCCTGGGTGAGTGAGACGGGCAAGAAAGAAGTGAGCAAACAGACAGTGGCATACTCACCCCGGTCCAAACTTGGAACATTGCTGCCGGAGTTTCCCAATGTCAAAGATCTAAACCTGCCAGCCAGTCTGCCTGAGGAGAAGGTAACCACACCTGAAGTGATTACTTGGGGAGGGTGGTTTCCCTCTTTCTCTCTGCTCCCCGCCCCCCCACACACATGCACACACACAGACATACACGCACACACATGCTTACTCCCTCTCTCTTTTTGCAAAACACTGAGTTAAGAAATGCAAAGACAGAAATCTATAGAGTTAATAATAATGCATCAGTATTGGTTTATTAGTTGTGACAAATGTACCATAGTAATGTAAGATGTTAACAATAGGGGTAACTGGGTATGAGGTATAGGGAAACTCCCTGTACTGTCTTTACAACTTTTCTATAAATCCAAAACTATTCTAAAATTTAAAAATTTATCTATCTCTGCCAGGTGTGGTGGTTCACACCTGTTATCCTAGCATTCTGGGAGGCGGGAGGATCGCTCAAGGTCAGGAGTTCGAAACCAGCCTGAGCAAGAGCGAGACCCTGTCTCTACTAAAAATAGAAATAAATTAATTGGCCAACTAAAAATATATAGAAAAAATTAGCTGGGCATGGTGGCACATGCCTGTAGTCCCAGCTACTCGGGAGGCTGAGGCAGGAGGATCATCTGAGCCCAGGAGTTTGAGGTTGCTGTGAGCTAGGCTGATGCCACGGCACTCTAGCCTGGGCAACAGAGTGAGACTCTGTCTCAAAAAAAAAATTTTATCTATCTCTATCATCTGTCCCTGTCTATCTTCTATCTACCTACCTACATACCTGTCCTATGATGTTACACTGCCTCATTTCACAAGGAAAGAGCTACTGCCCTCTCAATTGCTTTTTCACAGGATAAAGTTTGTTTTTCCATGTGCTGCAGGGGACTTGGTGAAGTCATGGTCCCATAGATGAAGAAGAATTTATAGGTTTAGCGAATCAGAGAGTTTTGATCATAGAGTATTTGAAGTAAGTTACTGGAGAAACACATTTGGGGAAGTTTCCCTTGGATCACATCTTCAATGCAGCTATCTTGATGCAGCCTGGTGTTCTAACATGTGTCAAGCTTCTGCTTAGTCTCCTAGTCCACACTAGGAGCTGGGATGCAATGGAGAACGAGACCTGAGTCCTGCTCTCAGGAAGCTCATAGGCAGGCAAGGAGATAGATGCTCTTGTATAAGCAAACTCAAGTTTATGTAAAATGTATGTCTATGTTCTGAAATGAAGAAAATGAACTTATTTCTGTAAAGGATGCTTTAAATCTAAGAACTAGATAAATCTTAACTTTTTTCTCAAATTTGCTTTTTTGGTCAAAAAACACATAAACTTCTCACACCATGGTTTAAAAATTCCTGGATGAAGGAAAAAAAATTTTGTTTGATGAATGGAGGTGGAAGATGAAATTTTGTTCGCTAAGGTTTCAGAGAATTTCCAAATGTCTTATGGGGATTTTGGCAGAAACAGTTCTTATAAATACACATTGGATTTTAACTGTTCAGTATCCTAGCCAATGAGGAGAACGTAGTTCAGTGAGTCCTGTTGAGCTCTGGGTGCCAGGCACAGTGCTAGGTGCTGGATACACAAGTATGAATAATGTGCCGTCTTCATTTTGCGAGAGCCCACAGTCTCAGGGGCGGAGAGAAAACCAGCGCTTTCCGTGTCACAGGGCGAGTGCTGTCACAGGGCAACATGCAGGTGCTGTGTGAGCACAGAGGAGGGGCCCGAGGGTCAGAGGACACCACCTAAGGAAAATCAGTCTCATTTCAGTCTTGCAGGATGAGCAAGTGTTAGGTGAATTCCAACCCCCTACCCCAAACAAGGGAATAGAAGATTTAAACACTGAAATTCCAAGGGCAGCAGCAATGTATATTAACGCATGTCTTTCCACCCACCCCACAGGTCTCTACCTTCATTATGATGTACAGAACCCACTGTCAGAGAATACTGGACACTGTAATAAGAGCCAACTTTGATGAGGTAGGTCAACAAGTGCTGAGCTGTCAACACTCTGCATTGAAATATGATAATTAACACTAGCTCCTATTTCATGAGCTGCTGCTAGGTGCCAGGCCTGGCATCTGGAAGCCCTTGATGCCCATTAGCTCACTTAATCTTCACAGGGATCCCACGAAGCAGGTGCGATTATTACCTCCATTTTACGCATCTTAATGTGTGTATAGCAGCTGGCGTGGCCTTTTGCTTGACTTGACTGAGGAACCACCTTCTGTCCTATCAGCATACTAGGAAGAAGACCATTTTGGCAGCGTATCCTTACACGCAGAATTACAGATTCAGAGAAACTTAATGAAAAGCTTTTTCTTACATTTTGGATTTAATCTTTTCCTGAGGCTCATCCACTTTGGTGCATTTGGAGCTCGTTACCTCTATTCCCAAGGTCAGGTCCATATTTCCATCAAATCCCACCTATAGGGCCATCTTTAAATTCAGACAATGTTAATATGTCCATCTCATTTTTATTTTAAAATATTGCAGTTAAAGAATGCAATGGAGAAAACGAGAAAGGATTGAAGCATAATACCCACTAATAAAGTTATATAATTTCATTATGTTTTTGAAGGAAGATAATGTGGGCTCTAAAAGGGCTATAAAAACCCAGTTGTTATTGGTGGGAAAAATCCCAGAGATTCCTTTTGTGTGTGTTTTGGGGGAAGGAGGTGCTGTTGGACGTGGAGGGGTGTGAAAATGCTGCCAGAGTTTTCTGCCTTCCCACCGCTGTGTCTCACAGCAGCCAGTGTTTACTGAGCATTTACACTGCCACTTGGCTCTCAGACGTGGCCCAGATAGCAGCGTGCTGGTAAAGAAGTACTATTCTGCCTTCTCGACTTTTATCCTCTAGATTTCTAACATGTCCTTCAAAATCTCCCAAATTACTTGAGCAACCACATCAATGGATTTTTTTTCTCTCAAACTGTGGTTTGGCTCTGTTTTGCGTTCCAAAGATCACAGAGATCAGGGCAAGTCATGATTCATGATTGGATGAGACACACTCTCTGCTGTAACAAATAACTCTCCAAATCTTAACACACTAGTCGTTTATTTCTCACTCA